TTGGCTCTCTTGTCAAAAAGTAAAGCCGTTATGGAGGATGAAGACCTCAGCCTGGAAGAACATGATCTCACATCAGAAGATTATGCCTTGATGGTATCCAATCCCAAAAGGTTCATAAAGAAGAAATTTCCCAGCAACAAAAACCGAAACTGGCAGGGGAGTTATAGCTCTGAAAAGGTGGTTAATGAACTGAAAGCTGAGGAGCACAAGAAGGAACCGAAGGTTGACGGAGACTCTGGGGTGAGCTGTTTCTACTGTGGTGGGAAAAATCATTATGCTAAGGACTGTGTCCTCAAGAAAATGGCTGAAAAAGATGATGGGAACGATGAGGAAGCTGTGCTGCAGAAAAGATTGGATGAGTTGAGAAAGAAGAAGTCTGCTGCTAACCCTCCTAGTAATGCTCTTATTGTGCAGGGTTCTGTTCCAGGTGATGAGTTCGGTAGCACGGAAGTTTGGTCTACCGACTCAGAAGACGAGGAAGTGAGGCAGCCTACTCATGGAAAGGCGTTCGTGTCTAAGGAAGAAGGCAGTGGTGGTAAATGCCTTATGGTTTCTGACGTATCTCAATTGAGGGGGTACAACACCGATGGAGGCAATGATGGACAGAATGCAAAGGAGGACATGTGCTTCACAGCCAAACCACTCAGCCAGCAGTTCAATGAGCTTGATGAACTGATAAAGAAGGTACAATCTGTTTTTATTTCAAGTAAAGTACCATCATCCTCTTATGAGAAAGAACTAAAAAATGTCAATACAAGAATATCTCATCTAGATAGTAGCTTAACTCAAACTCGGGTCACAAATTCTAACCTAACTGATCAATTGAGCAGGGCAGCGTCGAAGAGTGAGGAGCGGAGAATGTGGATAGAGTTAAAGGAATCGGAATTAGTCAAAGTTAAAGATGAAAACATTTATTTGCAAAGAGACAATTTGAAATTGTTAAAACAACGAAATGTTTTTTGTTTAATTGCTAAACGTCTGTATTCTAATATTACTCAGCTTCACTTGGATTGTGAAATAGGCCAAAGGATTCACCGCATGATCTTGCCCTTCCTAGAATTTAAGGAAGATGAAATCGATGCCGAAGCCTATAATTGTGAAAGTGTGATATCGTCTGATGACATAAATCCCACCTACATGTATGGACTGGACAAAATTGAGTCCTTCATTAAATCCAAAGACCACAAGCTCATGCTTAAAAATCTTTTGGATGAAAATGACAGACTTAAACTGAGACCGAAACCATGCAAAATTTGACTCTTTAAACGCCAACGTAAGCTCAGAAAACAAAATTGATGTTGAAAATGCATCTGAGCTTAACGAGGACGACAATATGAGTGAAATTTCTGTAGAGGACACGGTTGACTGCTCAGAATTTATTAAAACCGAGCCAGAAAATCACAAGAATCTAATTTCTGAAAATTCTGTAGAGTTCGCTCGGTTGTCCCATCAAAAGTCCCGAAATTAGTTGAGAAAGCTGTTGTGTATCAAAAGGTCAGGACTACTCCAAATCAAGTATACAAGGTAACAGGAGTAACCGAACATCAAACAGTTGAACTTGCAGCCATTGTAAACGAAGACAATGCTGATGGCTGTGATGAGTACTTCTGGGAAGCTCCTATTGATAATGCAGACGAAACCATTGGTTTATCTGAAAGAACTTCCTGGAAGAGCAAAGGAAGATACATACCCGAACCGTTGAATAAGCCAAACAGCTTCAATGAGCCGAGCACTAGTGGTAAAAAAGATACTCCTCAAAAGAAGGTTCACTCACCAAAAGAAGACATTCCTTCGGCTCCTTCAGCTCAAAGTAATTCTACTGCAGTTCAAATGGAACCGGTCAAGGAGTCAACAAAAACGAAAGCAAATGTTCATCATCAACCTTCTCAGATGAGGAATAGGAAGATAGAAAGGAATAATAGATACAGGAAGAACCTTTCTGAAAGGAAACAATTCTGGCGTTCCCAGAATGCATACTTCACTCATCAAGACAAGAATCTAAAGTATGAAAACATTCCTGCAGGAAAGCTTGAAAGTCACAAAAACCGAAAGCCAAGGTTCGGTTCACAAGAAGATATCAACCGAAGGCAGAAGTTCGGTTCTGAAAAGGATATCAACCAGAACCAAAGGTTCGGTTCCAAAGGTAGCTCCAACCGAACGCAAAGGTTCGGTTCTGAAGACAAAAGAGTACAAAACTCTAAGGTCGTCCTCCAATGATCAAAAACAAAAGGGTCACCTAGAGTCTCCTTCTAAGTCTAATTCTTCTCATTCTTCTAATTCTTCCTCACCCTCGTTTCATCTCGATCTCGTTCTAAATCTGATTCTCTTGTTCTCAAAAACTCATTCATCAACTGAGCAAAAGTGGAAGCAGAAGGTCAATAAATCCACACCAGAGACCGAATTTAACTCTACTAATCTTAACAAAATAAAAGTTTACACCATTAAAAGGAAAGATAAAACAACTCTCGTAAAAAGAACTTATCTTGTTGATATCTCTCTCATTGCTCCTGTTTCAATGCAAAGCTCACGTGGACCCAAGAAACTTTGGGTTCCTAAATCTGTCTAAATTTTGCAGGTTATAAGTGACGAGCAGTTCGACGAAGAATGGTACATTGATAGTGGCTGCTCGCGTCACATGACAGGGAGGAAAGAGGAGCTTAGGGAATACAGATCTCTTGCAATGGTGGCAACGTCAAGTTTGGAAATAATTCATTCGGCACCATAAAGGGATACGGGATGATAACCAATGGGACTTCTCTATAAGGAAGGTGGCTTATGTGGAAGGTCTCCAACACAACCTCATTAGTGTATCTCAGCTTGTTGGAGGTACAGGTCTCAAAGTTCATTCGATGATGAAGGTTCAGAAATCATAGAGAAAAAGTCAAATAAAGTGATTCTCAAGTCAGAACGAAAGGGTGAAATGTTTCCCTTAAACATAAAACCCATCAAAGGAAACCCAGCTATATGCTGTTGTCAAAAGCGCAATCCGATGAAAGCTGGTTGTGGCACCGAAGATTATCTCATCTTAACTTTAAAGATATCAACCGTCTTGTTACAGGAGGTCATGTAAGGGGCCTTCCACTACTCAAGTTCGACAGGATCATCTGTGTGCTGCATGCGAAATGGGAAAGCAGAGTCGTCAAAGTCATCCATCTATAATCAACACAAAAGTTGTTGAACCACTAGAATTAATTCATATTGATTTGTGTGGTCCTTCATCTATCGAAAGCATCGGTGGTAGCAAGTATATTCTTGTTATCATTGATGACTTTTCACGATTTACATGGGTGTTCTTTCTAAAGCTCAAATCTGAAGCGACTCAAAAGCTGAAAGTGTTTATTAAGCAAATTGAAGTACAGCTCAAGAAGGTTGTTCGCAACATCAGAAGCGACAATGGTCTCGAATTCAAGAACAGGGAGTTTGAAGAGTTTCTTGCAGAAAAGGGAATCAGTCATAATTTCTCAGCTCCCTACACACCACAACAGAACGGAATAGTCGAAAGACGAAACCGATCCTTGTGTGAAGCTGCCCGAACTATGCTAAGTTTCGCTTCTTTACCTCTTTATTTTTGGGCTGATGCTATTTCTGCTGCTTGTTTTACACAGAACAGGTCATATCTCAACAAAAGGTTCGCTCTCACCCCATATGAGATATTGAACAACAGGAAGCCAAACGTGAAATTTTTCCATGTGTTCGGCTCAAGATGTTTCATCTTCAACTCTAAAGAACACCGCAACAAGTTTGATGTCAAAGCCGACGAAGGAATATTTCTGGGTTACTCGCTCACATCCAAGGCATACAGGGTCCTAAACAAGCGTTCAAGAAAAATTGAAGAGACGTATTATGTGACCTTTGACGACAACTATGTCAAGAAGCTGCAGGCTAAAGAAAATATCACTGGGGAAATCTTTCCTCTAAATGGCATGGTTACAGTCTCGGTTGCTAATTTATTCGAGACATTTCTGGAGCTCTTTGACGAACCAGAGAATGCTTCACTTTCTGAAGCAGGTGCAGCAGATAACAAGGTTGATCACATGGAGCAGATTGTCGAAGATGCTGCAAGGAGAATGTATGAAGAAGTATCAATCTCTAACGACTCTCCTTCCAACGAAGCTCAAATCGAGGGGGAGCCAAGTGCTCAAGTCGAGGGGGAGCCAAACGCTCAAGTCCAGGGGGAGCCAAATTCCACAACTTCAACCGAAGAGGTCTCAACACCAGGAAGCTCAGGCCCACTAGAATCACACGAACCTCATATCTTCCAAAGTACACCAACTGAGGTGGAACATGATGATGTGACACTCGGTATGACAGCCAATCTGAGCTAGACGAAAAATCAATGCTGAATTAGACCCAACCTTTGATCCAAATTACCCTCCTCTTATCAAATGGACCAGAGATCATCCTGTCTCTCAAGTAGTTGGGGATGTATCTGAAAAGGTTCTGACCCGATCACAACTGAAGGCAAAACAAACTTCCTTATTTTCAAAGGTAGAGTTTTGCATGTTCAATTCATTCGTATCAAAAGTTGAACCAAAGACAGTTAACACTGCTCTCGATCACTCTGATTGGGTTCAAGCAATGCAAGACGAGTTGAACGAATTTGAAAGGAACAAAGTCTGGCGCCTAATTCCAACTCCTCCAGAAGCTTCGGTTGTTGGTCTCAAATGGGTTTTTAGGAACAAAATGGACAAGGAAGGTAATGTTATACGGAACAAGGCCCGTCTGGTGGTA